TAGCCTCTTAATTTACAGACAAGAGCAACAAACAAGAAGTTAGCCCCAAGAGCACTGCTTCAAGAGGCAATTTGTCCTTGGTCCTTTGACTGGGGCATTTTGCCAGCTGTCACTACTAGACCAACTGAAAGTGCCACACCCAAACTGTTGTTCTCATTAGAACCAAGCAATTTAACACGAATGCCTGGAGGTACTGGCATGTCACACTGTGTTGTTTAGTCTTACAAGAGAAGAATGTCTGTCATTCCCATTAAATAATATTTAAGCATTTGCATTCATGGTCTACAAACTGCTTCTGATGCTCCTTTATATAACTAAGATCTAAACACTATGACTCTCTTACTTGATGTACTCCATTTATTGTGTGGTCTCTTTAAAAAGAAAATATAGCCCAAGTGAAATATTAGTAAGAAATAGTTTTCTAGACTTTATATGAGAAAGGCAATCTAAGGTTCTTCTGAAACCATGGGAAATGATGTCCTTCAGCCAGACACCTGTACCTGTGTCACAGTTAAGAATGTGAGGTTCCTCAATTTACACATACTCTTGCTTCATATATAATCATTTCCATAGAGGTGGAAGGTATTCAGGGGCCTCAGAAAATAATGGTCTAAACCTCTTCTGTTTGGCTGCCTGGCTCTATCAGCTTCTACACAGAGGATCTTCTGCAAACATGCCTGATTTATACATAGTTTTACTTAAGGCACCAAGAGAGACCCCAAGGCAAAATTCTATCTACAGAATGAGCCAACTTATTCTCTCATGTGAAGGTCAAGTTTTATAGGGGCCAGGCCCCAAACACCAGCTAGATCTCCCAGGCCCCGCTACTGCTAAGTCAAGGGCTCTGTATAAGTTTTTTTGTTCATTATTCTGGAGTTTCTCCAAAGCAAAACTTTTCTAAAATAAAGGTTCTCCTGAGTTCACAAGTCAATGTGAGCTGTCAGGAGGCAAAAATGATCTAAACCTAGACTGCAGTGCATGGCAGCCCAAATAAAGATTTATTACAAACCTTAAAATGGGTGAAATATAAATTATACCTCAGTAAAGCTACTAAAAATAAGTCTGAAAATGAGTCAGACAGGTAAGCTGTCTATAAATATCTGATATTGAAACTACAAAGATACTTTTGACTACCCATGCTCAAGTAAGCCCAGGCCCTGTGTTCTTTGTCACACTTCACCTAAAACATCTAAAGTTTTCCCTGTAATGTTGGTAAAAATAACTTGAGACTAATGTAAATATCTGTTAAAAAAAAAAAAAAAGAAAACAAAACACCAAACATTAACCGGTACAGCAACAAGAGAAACTCTAGTATGATTACCTGTGTGTGTGATTTACATACATATCTGCTCAATTAACCGTAGTTTTAGTCAAAGCTCATCGTTAATTTGACACTGGGTTCTGAGAAGACATCTCAAAGATTCTTTTCCCACCTATACCACGTAACTCTGTCCACTAGAGTTAAATGGCAAGAAAAATAGCAGGTTTAAGGGTCTGGCTCGGTAGTGTAGCTTAGTGGTGAAGTGTTTATTCGTAGAGCACTGAGGAGGCAAAAAGATAAAAGATAGCAACTACAACTTAACACTCAACTCACTAAAAATCAGATAGTCTACAAAAACCGTCACCCTGTGAGAAAGCCTTTTCTGGGACTGTGCATGTGTGTGTGCATGTGTGCATGCATGTGTATGTGTTTGTTTTCAGATGAGAAAATGGAACACACTTGGTTCTTTAGTTCAACAAAGATCACACATTATCAGTAGCAGATACAGATTCCAGTCCAGAGGCATTCTGCTCTAAATGCTCATTCTCGACTCCTCATCAAGAATGGACTTCCAGTTCCCTCAGATGCCAACATGAATCCTCACCTTGACTTTAGTACATTAACTATTTTCTTCTTCATCTATAAAAGTAGATCACTTGGAGTTAATTCTCCGAGTTGTTATGACAATTAGAGAGTACATTTCTTAGATTAAGAAACTATTCAATAAATAGCTCATCCTTCTCCCAAGATACCCCTTCCTGTGAATAAAACAAAAGCAAACAAACTATAAACGTTATTATTTCCTTACACCCTACCTGGACCAACCTGTCAGGAACCATGGTCTATCAAAAGCACTTAGAGTGAACACGAACAACACAGCATTGCTTTTTTACTATCAGCCTTTGGCTCTGTTACTGAGACTGTCAACAAGAGTGTCAACTTCAAGGGGTGGGCATCTGTCCACAGGAACTGAGCTGAGGTCACAGACTTGTCTAGCTCTGTCCTGCAAACAGATGTCTTTGTGACAATTCTTAGTCACTGTGGACCACAGCTAGAGCCAACCCAGGTGGGAAGTGCTGTATCCTCTTCTAATCCTTGGCTGGCCTACTCATTCCCTAAGACAATATCTCACTGACCATATTTCAAAATCCTTCTCTCCAGGATATAACATCTTTATTTTTAGAATGCCTGATTATTATCCAAGCAGAAGGGAGTGTCTCCAGAACAGTGATTATTTGGTTCCATGCACTGGAAGGTACGTACACCTTTCAAGAGTTGCTGCTCAGGAAGCCAGGTAAAAACTGATGTGATGTGGGGCTCTAGTGGTGATGAGGAGGTAAAGCAGCTGTTACAGAGAGCCAACCAAAAAAAAAAAAAAACCACCAAGGAAATCCCATTTACATTGTCATGTTATATTGAAAAACACTCCAGTGGTCCAGTATTATCTTCTGAGATAACATAAGTCCAACTCTAAATGTGGTAGCTTTCTTCCAATCAAGTGATAATTAAGTTACATTAAACATCATGAGCAGTGACATCTTACAGAAAACAGAATTCACAGAGCAGAAGAGGTTACTTTTCAACTTTTTACCCAATTCAGTAAGAATCCAATGAATGAAATACTGCTTTAAATACAGTTAACAAAACATTACATACCAAAAGTACTGGACTCTGAAGGGTGTGGTCAGTGACTCTCAGTACCAGGTGTCTTAGAATTTAAACAGTCCCAAACGTGATGAGGTGATTATGTGTTTAATCCTCTGCTGGAAATGTGACTTCCTTAAATATCTGACTTCTGAGGTCTGTCCCAACTCAAAACAACTAAGAACAAAAGCTACATGTTCAAATGCTAACTCCTTCTCTGATCTCCTTCTAACAAAAGATGTAACTTAAATTGTCAAATATTCACATATAACATATAAAATTTCCCCTGTGTATTGTGGGGTTAGACCTAGGGTCTCACACATGCTAGGCTAGTGTTCTAAAACTGAGCTACACCAAGATCTCCAAACATCTTTTTTTAACCTTCTGATGTTAAGACTGTCTTACAAGTTGTAGCCCTGGTCTGCACGGAACTCATAATCCTCCTGCTTCAACCTTCTGCGTAGCTGGAATAAGAGGCCTTTACCATCAATCCAAAGCAGTGTTTTCCTAATCGAAAGGCTTTATTTGAAAAAAGTATGGTTGCAGTATGGTGAACAATGTAATCGGATATATAATTGCTGTGCTTAGGGCCAATGAGACCACTCAGTGGGGAAAGGCCCTTGTCACCAAGCCCGATGACCTGGCTTTGATCCTTGGGATCCACTTGGTGGCATTACAAAGCTAAGTCCTGCAGGTTGCCCTCAGACTTCCACACAAGTGCCACTGCACACACACAAGGCTGTAGGTGTGTGCATGAGGGCACGGACACACACACTAAATGTAATTTTTAAAAAGTTTCCTTTAAATGTGTATGCTCTACAACCTGGTGTCCATATTTTAAGCTGATGTGTAAAAGATGGCAGCTGTGTTGACCATATCAAAAATAATTCAGAATACTAAGAAAATACAAGAACTAGCCTTTCCATATACAGTCATGTACTACTTAACAGGGAGAATTGTGTTGTTAGACAATTTCATACACTGCACTTCAAAAACTGAAATGACTATAATATCAATAAATGATGTAATCTTATAAGACCTCTATCCTACACAGCACAGTGTGATCTGTCGTTGACCAAATGCAACTATGCAACACCTAACTACATAAATATCATGTTCTTGAACATGAAATAAAATGTAAAAGAATCACTTTGCATGTCTGATAAAAGAAACTAAATGTTCATAAATGCATTACAGTGTCTATCTGAAAAAGCATTAACACTCCTGGGGTTTGATGACCATCATCCAAGATCTTTTAAATTGTTAAATCTACAGATAAATACTGAGTCTCAGAGATCTGTGAAAGGACTTACAGTTACCCTGGCTGGATGAGGTGTGGGGGTGCTACTCATTGATGTCTCTCTTCCGCATTCTCTTAGGTACTGCCATTAACATGGTTCCCTAAAACTGCCCACAAATACAGTAAATAGATAAGAGCCCATCCTGAGAGGCCATTGAGAATGCAATAGTTTGGAATGGGAGTTCAAGATAAAGAAGAGCCTTCATCTGGTCTTCTGCTGTGAGACAGGAGAGAGAGTCTCTTTGATAGGACAGAATACAAGCCAGTGAGGAAGGAGAGGTGATTTACACATGTAGCCATACGCCAGAGGCAGGCAACAAACCTGCACTGTTGGAGCACTAGGCACCAGGGAATTCAGAATCTAAGAGTTCAACAGTCATTTTCACACACATGGTGCACACACACACAAAAAAAAAATTGACATTATTTAATAAGATCATGGAAGACTTTGGATCGGTGACTCTAAGAACTCTATCTTTGTATATCATCTTACCTATGTTATCCATGGTGACCATCTCTAGCTTCCTCACTCTCCCATAGCAGACCTAAGGATCCCGCATAAAATAATACTTAGCATTTTTTTTTTTTGCCATCTTTTGGACTGAGGCATGTTGGTTTTATTAAAGCAAGCTGGGCCTGCATTCTTTCTTTACTATTATTCCAGGTAGACTTGACAGCACAAGACCGTGTGTGTGTGTGTGTGTGTGTGTGTGTGTGTGTGTGTGTGTGTGTGTGTGTGTGTGTGTGTGTTTTCTGCTGTGTGGAGGAAGCATTGCTAAATGAGGTCTATTTTACCTGCCGGGCAGTTGCACTCTGAAGGTGCCTCTCTTGCGATTCTTATTTTAGCCATATGTTCATAGGATTTCTGTAGGAAAAAGCAGAAGTATATTAACACAATCATCAGTAGCACTGAAGAGAAATGGACTCTTAGGGACTCTCTGGCTACATGCCTGATTTACCAGCATTCGATAGCTTGCATAAGGAATATTTACATATGTACTTGGACTCTAGTCAAAAAGTAACAGAATCCAAGTTCTAAAATAAGACAATGACCACTGACGTGGTAGCAGGGTTGCAGGGTTTGGCTAGGACCTTTCTCGGGTCTTCAATTCCCACCACCCTCTCCTCCAGCCCAAGCACAGTGGGTGCAAAAGCCTGGCAGTGAGACACTGCGGGTCTGAAAACATGGTGGCCAATAGTATGCATGTGAATATCAACTGCTGAACAGTTTCTCTATTGGAAGTAAATTCCCCTAAAAAAAAAAAAAAAAGCCCCTAACTTGAGTTGAAACCAACCTTGAAGATGATGTGATTCCTTTCAACTCTCAACTTCAATGGCTCTACATTGATCAATACCTGCACAGCATCCTTGCCAAATATCAAACTTTTTTGACGTATTTGAACATAAAAAGATTCGAAGGGTGAAACTTATGGCTTTGAATCTATATAGAATTGTTTTTTAATGATTACCTTTTGTATATTAATAACACTTATTTTTCTAACCTTGACCTGGAAAGGAGATATGAGATCTTATGTCTATAATGAATATTCTCCGTAGAACTGAGAGATCACAAGAGACTCCAGAAAACTGAAAAATGAAATGTTCCTCCCCACACTCCCACTATCCAGGCCTCCCTTCCCTCTTTCAGACATTCATATATGTTTAGCATGCAAGCACTATGGAAGAGTAAGGGAAGATTTCAGCTACAGACTCGGTATCAATCAATACCCAAGGTACTTAACACACACTCCACACTCGGCACCCAGTCACGCCGACTCTGTAGACAGTAAGGGTTGAAACTAGCCCTGCATTCAGGACTCACACCTGTGCAAAACACTATCCACGTGCAAAATACCCCAGCCTTTCACACCTGTGCCAAGAGACGCTCCACTTTCTCCTGAACCATAGCCTTCAGCTCATCGAGGGTGTCAGGCAGCGGGCGAAAGGAAGGGGTTCCTTTAGCAGATTCAAGAGCAGCAATCCTCGCCTGGAGGTCGTTGGTTTTCACCCCAAGATACAAGCAAAAAACCACAGCCACCACTGACAGGAGGGTCGCCAGGGCCGCACACGAGGCCATGGAGCCGGCACAACGCTGTCCCAAGGGGCACGGATCTTCTGATCCAGGCTCTCGTCCCCCTCCTTTCCCTGCAAGCTTCTTCACCAACATCGTGGCGGGGTCGCCGGCCTCCCTTACGCCTTCAGCCCCTCTACCTCCTCCAATTATCTTAGAAGGAGAGGAAGGGCCGGTGCCTTCAAAGTTCAGTCCCTGCGGCTGCACAACTAGTTGGTGGAGTCGGAGCCCCGGCTCGGAGGTAGACCTGAGCTTGGCTCGGCGTCCAGATCAGCAGCAGGCGTGGACCATCCTGATTCTTTCTCCCCTTCCAGCTGAGAGTGAAAAGCCCCCTCTCTGGCCGAGGGCTGTGTGGCGCCGGGGGGTCACAGCTGAAATGCAGCCCACCAGGGCAGTCCTTCTGACCCCTCAAGATCCGACACCTCCTTAGTGGTCCCCCGCGCGGAGGCGCAGGGTCCGCCGGCCCCTCTCCCTGCTCCGACCTGTTGCGTCTGTCTGCCTAGCTCTACCTATTCCGGGGCTTTTCACACGCCGACCTGTCTCCCACCTGGATCAGTTCAAGGCCAAAAGGGAAAAGAAATGCAGAGAGACGCGGCGAGAGCGCGGCCCCCGCGGGGTGGCCAGAGGGATAGAGGAGAGAGGAGAACCAAATGACCCAAGCGGCAATCGCGAGCCGCGAGGCCCCAGAAGTAGCTCCGCAGCCTCCCGTGTGCGAGCCTTAAATACCCCGGGATGCTCGCGTGTGAGACCGTGCGCGCGCGCCTCCAGCACGGCCCGCCCCCTCCCGCAGGAGCCTCCTTATTAGCATAATGTATTCACCTTCGCCCAGCCCGCCTGGACCCACGAGAGGGCGGGAGCGCGGGTGGGAGCGGAGCGGGAGGTCCCTATTAGCATAATATATGCAAATAGCTTCAGCAGCCGCCGTGATTGGAGAGGAGCTTGGAGACCCTTCCCCTCCCGCCACAGTGTAACTTCAGCGTCCCCTAAGGCCACCTCTCTGGCCTTAGCCGGAGGCCGAATCGAGGTCTGCTGCGCCGAGTGACTTACACCGGCTTAGCCCAGCGCCCCCTCTTTATTTGGGTTTAAAAATGGAGGAATGGCCTCCTGAAGGGAAGAACCGGAGCAGAACGCTCCAGCCCTCCAGATCCTCACTCTGAAGCAGCCGCAGGAGCTCCTCCATCTAGCCTTAGTGCGATGTTTTCCCTCCTCCCTCAGTTCTTTCCCACATGCCCAGAGGCAAAGTGTCTGGCTGACGTCTGCAGGGTACCTTCCCCACTTCCCTTCCTTCCCACGCCTTGCAGCAGATTCTCCAAGCGACAGGGGAAGTTTTCTCGCCCCTCCCCCGTTTCCTCTTGTCTTGATGCTGTTTCCCCGCAGCTCTGGGTTCCTACTCTGTACTAGGGTGCTAATGTGTTTTCCTGATTCCCTGTTTTGTGGGATTGAAAGGGGGAGTGCTTGAGGCACACATTTCTCGGGATTTAAGAAAGAGCTAAAGAATGAAGTCAATTTTTCCTCTTCCTTGACTCTCAGCTTGGTATTCCTTCTGGATCAAATTACAAAGTCTCTAATGGGATTTTTCCCCCTAAATTGATAACAAGTAGCATTTTTGCATCCAATTGACTTCGGCGAAACAATAACTTGAACTCTTCTTCCAAAAGACCTTCCTTATTGCCTTCTCATCTTAAGAAGCTGTTCGTGGTTTTTCTTACCCTCCTTAATGTAACCGCGCAAACCTCAAGTAGTTGCTCACTACTGTAATCAATGAACAAAATGCTGCGCTGAGCAGCTCCTTCCCATGTGTGCCAAGGGAGAACCAGGATAAAGAGAGAGGACAGAGAAGAAAGACTGTTCTAGACATGACAGGGAGGCTGCACCTATAAAATCTCAACAAGTGGTCGCCTAAACAAGACCTCAAGACCTGAACAACAATACCAGTCAACTCGCTAACCTGGGTGGCCGAGCTTGCACAAGGTCCCATGCCTAGAGGAAGGGCTACCAACAATGTCGGCTGCTGGAGAAGAATTAGTTTTCTTCAGGGACCAGCCTCAAGTGGTCATCTCCAAATACATATACATACATATGAGAAACACTAAATGGACTCAGTAGTGTGTGTGTGTGTGTGTGTGTGTGTGTGTGTGTGTGTGTGTGTGTGTGTGTGTCGGGAATTGATCCAAGCTAAGTCTGCTCTCTACCACTGAGTTATATACCTCCAGCCAAAATTTTGAGCATGTCAGTTCTTTCCATATTCCTATTCACCCCCTTGCTCATTTTGTTTGTTTGGTGGGTGGTGGCAGTGGTGACCCTCTCAATGTTTGATACATTAGCCAGTCCTCTCAAGGTTTGCTCACTCCTTGAGTGCCTGTATGCTATCTTTTTTCCTAACTAGACTCTCTCCAGTAGAATTCCTAATTACTGTATTTTAGCTGCAGACCAATAAGTGTATACACCAAATCCAAACCTCCTGATCCTCGGAATCATAGAGCCCACCATTTGACAGTCATATCTCACTAGCAATTATAACCTACATTATTCCTCCAGACTCTGCTCACTCCCTGTTTCCCTTCTCAGTAGGAGCTGCCCTGACTTCTCACCCTCCTTTCAATGCTTCCCCGAATTCTTCCAATGCATCCTGTGATCTTCAGATTGTAAGCCTTGATGTCTGAGACATCCCCACCAATACCTGCCATCTCACCAGGCTTATTGCTCATGCTATCCCTCTGCATACCAGTTTCTAGACATATGCAAAGAGAATAAGGATCTTTCAGTTCAGACAAGCACAAAAACCATTTTCCGTTCCGACGCCAACAGTAGAACACACAGTTCATGTGCATGATGCCGTGTTCTGTGGAAGTTGGCCATGAGAGGGTCCTTCAGTGTCTCCTGTAAGCTCTTAGAATGATCAGATCTCAGTGGAGAGATGGAGCTGGAATTCTGTGGATTTGAGACCTTTATCCAGAGGATTATATTTGCTTTATGTCTTTGGTGGGTATGATATCTCAGAAATGTGCCAGCCGTTAGCACTAAGATTTCAAGACCCAGAAGATTCTCTGCATCAAGCTCAAAGAATGCATGGATCAACGAGGCTCTGTGGTCTGAACTCACTTTGTTCTATGGAGTTGACAGAGCATCATTACTTTGACTTTTACACAGAGAAAGAAACAAGAAAAGGTTAAAATAGCTCTAAAAATTCTATGGTTCCGCTGACTCCAATTTGCCTATGGCTCGCATCAGTAGCAGTAAAAGGCAAACAGCTGGTTGATGATCAGGGCTATGATGGAAACAATAACACTGTGCACATACATACAAAACAGAGAGAGAGAGAGAGAGAGAGAGAGAGAGAGAGAGAGAGAGAGAGAGAGAGAGAGAGACATGCCCTAAGCTCCAAAACCTGTAAGTGGCAAAACATCTGTAAGTGAAGTTAAGGATCTTAAGATGGGAAGATTTCCCATGTAACCACAAAGGTTCTTACAAAACAGGCACAGGATTTCAGAGAAGAGAGATGTCGATGGGAACAGGGGTTCTGGGTGCAAATACTGTCTCTGAAGATGGAAGAGGGGCTAAAGCCTCTATTCCAGAAGCAGGGAGAAGGAGTAGAGTGGGTTCTCCCCTAGAACATCCAAAGGAAAGCAGCCCTCCGAGCCAACACCTGGAATTGAGGAATTCTGACCACCGGAACTGTAATTACTCTTTGCTCTCTTTTAACGTGCTAAGTTTGTAGTTATATGTTCTGATGCCAAAATAACAATAATCAAAATCACAAGAAAACAGTCTTTATCTGTACAGACAGCATCAGACGTTGCCCTGGAACCACCCTCAGGCCTAAAAAGTCTAACAAGCCATGTAATGCTGAGTCTCTACACCCCAAGGATTTGTATGTTGTCTATATGTTGGTGTATTGCCTAGGAAAGAATTGAAAGCATATCTTCTCTCCTGTCATGCAAGATCAGGATGCCCTCCTCAGAAACAGTGTGTTCTGTTGATGCCTCCTCATGGCACAATCAAAGACAGTCAGCCAGCCAACTGTGCTGACACTTTTGTTCCTCTCCACAGAGCGGTCTGACTGCGGGAATAATTGATACCGATCTTCAGGTCATCAAGTATGAGGAACCAATGAGACTTCTGACCAACGGGCATGGCAAAAAGATAAAGTGAAAAGGGGGGTGACGGGGAACAAAAGCCACAAAATGGAAGAAACGGTTGAACGAGCAGTGAGTTACTTTACAATTTAAAAAGGTGGGGTCTGTTCCTAACGCCTCAAGAAACTGACTGGTAGTGGATATAACGTGTAGATGTAAGAAATTTACACATATTCCAAATTTGGACCGTTCATGTGTAATGTGTATTGTGTGTTTAAGAAAGATTATTGACGTATGAGAGTTGCTTGGATAATCACATTATATTTTTTTCAAGTGGATATTAATTACATTTTTTTTAAAAAAGACTTTGGTTTGGGTTAAAAATACCTTTCAATGTCATTAACTTTTGAGACTAAGTTTCTAGAACCCTGGCTTTAGCCTCGGTTCCCAGCAAATTTATCCAACAGAAGCACACATTCCCGCAGAGATTTCTGCCTTTCTTTGTACACCCGCACCACCTGTTGTAACCTCTAAGTGTCTTAATAAAGAAAATGATGGAATAAACTGTGCATGGCATCACGTGCCGTTTTTAAAAGCTTCAGAGGAGAGCATGTGCTCACAGAGTCGTCTCCTAGGAAGGCAGTTTCACAAAGAGAATGGAGAAGCTGGAGAGAGTTAAGAGGGCTGGAGCTTACAAGATACTGTCCCTCTCTAGCCAGGCAAATTTCAATAAATCACAAACAAATTATAAATATCTTTCAGAGCAGACGAGCAGAAAAGAAGTATTTGGCTCCGAGTGACAGCTGATAAATTCCCTTTCAGGCAGATCAAGGAACTGATCCCATTTGCACAAGCCCGGTTAAGCAAGGGGCTTACAGCTGTATGAATCCAATAATCTGGACGGTGCATACCCTCTCAGCTCCCTGGCCTCTGCAGCCAGGGTTCAGGTTGTTGTTCTGTTATATTTGGAGGGGTAAGTGAATTTTCTTCTCAAAGTTTAAATAACTAAGTATTAAACCTACCTAATGGATTTTTCTCCAAAATTCGCCCTGATTGAAGCAAGGGGACATGTTTTGTCAAACTTACCAGGTCCACCTTTTCATGTGATGCTGTGCATACAGACATGTTCGTGTCACTGAGGCAGCCCAGAAACCAAGGACATTTTCCAGTTTTGCCACTTAACAGTTGGGAAGCTTGGAATAAATGACTTTGCTTTTTTTGTACTTCAGTTTTCTACACCTATAAAATAAATATGATAATTAACTAACCATTGGGACATTTTACTAAGAGAAAATGGGACTGTGTGTACGGGCATAACACTGCCTGGTAGGTACTAAGTGCAGTAGACACTAGTTCTTATTGATGCTACCATTGTTATTACCTTAAGAGTGCCAGTTTCCTCACCATAGATACTGAAAGGCAAGAGCAATACCCACTCTTACACTGAGTTTTCATTCATATACCATGATTTTAGTCCTACTTTAGTTCAAAAGAACAGAGTGGCCTCAGAGCCACCTTCCTCCACTTGTTGGGTTGTTTGAGAAATTCCCTATGCCAAACAATGCTTTGTGTATCTTACATCAATTTTTATTTGTTGCACCTAGTCTACAACTTCATATCAATAAAAGCATGCATTATATGTTCTAATATGTCTGGCATCTTTTGCTCGACATGGTTTGGGGATTTATCCATAG